TCCTCACCCTGTCTGCATCTCCTATCATCCCACATATGACACAGACAATACATCCCAGACACCCAGGGGACCTCCCTCTGTCCCAATGCAAACAGCTGCCTGAAATTTCTAGTTTCCAGTGAGAAGTGGGAGGTGTGGTTCAGAGGTAAAGTACCTGCCTAGAATCCCCCAGTGAGGGGCTGGGGTGTGGCTCAGTGGTAGAGCACCTGCCTAGAATCCCCCAGTGAGGGGCTGGGGTGTGGCTCAGTGGTAGAGCAAATGCCTAGAATCCCCCAGTGAGGGGCTGGGGTGTGACTCAGCAGTAGAGCACCTGCCTAGAATCCCCCAGTGAGGGGCTGGGGTGTGGCTCAGTGTAGAGCACCTGCCTAGAATCCCCCAGTGAGGGGCTGGGGTGTGGTTCAGAGGTAGAGCACCTGCCTAGAACCCCCCAGGGAGGAGCTGGGGTGTGGCTCAGTGGTAGAGCACCTGCCTAGAATCCCCCAGTGAGGGGCTGGGGTGTGGCTCAGTGGTAGAGTCCTTGCTTAGAATCCCCCAGTCAGGGGCTGATGGCGTGACTTGGTGGTAGACTACTTGCCTAGCATGCTCAACGTCCTAGATTCCATCTCTAGAACTAAGAAAATCAAAACCCCTTGACCAACCTATCACCTGGCTTCTTACCAGAGGTGATGCAGCCCCAGCAGGCACTATTCCCCTAAGGCCACATCAAATGGGTGTGGAATGTGTGTTCAGTACCTTACCCACATGCGGTCCTTGAAGCTTTCTTCAGGTGACTGTCTGGTGTCACTAGATGGCTAGCTGAGGGTCTTTCCCTTTGGGGTAGGCCTGGTCCTCTGTGCCCTGACTTCTCTCCCTTTCCAGACTGTTTCCTACTGTTCAAATGGAGTAGCTGACCCTGAGGCTGTAAATGGCACCAGGCCACCAACGACCTAGACACCAAGACCAAGCAGGACCCATGGAGGACTTTCCAGCTCACTTTCATGGCACCAATGCCCAGGGTTTGAGGCTGACCCTTAGAATGTCCCACAACCAGGAGTTTTCTATCTTGCTGGGATAGCCCCAGCAATTCCTACTATCCTCTGGGCAGGGTCCTGGGCAGGCTGACAGGGCCTAGAGGATTCCAGGAACCTAAAACACCAGAATCAGGGACTCTAAAATCTTGGTTTTGATTGGATCATAACTCTGTATTGACTGGTTGGAAGGCCTTGGGCAACACTGTCTTTTTTTTATGTGTGTGTGGTATTGGGAATTGAACCCAGGTCCTTGTATATGCTAGGTAAGGGCTCCATTGCTGAGTCATGCCAGCTGCCCCTCACTGGGGGATTCTAGGCAGGGGCTCTACCACTGAGTCACACCCCAGCCCCTCACTGGGGGACTCTAGGCAGGTGCTCTACCACTGAGCCACACCTCCAGCCCCTCACTGGGGGACTCTAAGTGTATGTTTTACTCACCTGTGCTTCCAAGACTTTTTTTTTCCCATTTTTAAATTTGAGGCAGGGTCTTGCTAAGTTGTCCAGGCTAGCCCCAATGTGGCTCTGTAGCTGACACAGGACTTGACCCTCCCACCTTAGCCTTTCAGTTCAGATGCTGACCGTGGTACTTTATTATGGGAACAGGACTCTAGGCATCTGCTCCCCAGTTTGGCCTAGGCCTCTACTTTCTGTATAATATCTGGGGAATTCCTTAGACAGCAGCACTGAACACATGACCCTCGGCTGACTGCTTCTATCCTTTGCTCCGACTGAAACGCCCCTGCCAAGCCTCCTCTCCCCGAAGCCTGCCCACACACACTGACCTGCAGCTGTCGGTGCTGCCTGGGTACCCTGTGCTACCTCTACTAGAGGAGGCTCTGTCAAGGCTGCAGTGAAAGCCGGGGCTTTACACTTCAATCAGATTCCACCGATCTGTTGAAGCCCTGAGCTGCTGGAAGGTCTGTGGGCAGGCGCCATGTTATAAATGGCCGAGCCAGGACTGTAACCCAGGGCCTGCGGGCTCTTGCTCTTGTGCTGCTCACCCGACCTCGAGCTCCATGAAGCCCTTCTTTCTCTAGCTCACCCTGCTGCCCAGCCCCCACTGCTCACCTCACGGACCAGACAGTTGTGGGAGTTGAGGTCTCGGTGGATGATGTTCATCGAATGGAGGTAGGCCTGAGGGAGCAGAACATGGCCGTCAGCAGATGCTTGGCCACAGACTCCCCAGCTCAACCCTGACCCTCTGGAAGCTCCTTGCCTCCCACCAAGTCTCATCAGCTGATGGACTCCAGGCCCCTGCTCTACTGCTGAGCTGTCCCCTGTGCCTTCACAGGTGGTCACCTACATCACGCAGTCACTTTAAAGCTTCCCCATGGGTTCTGTCCACACTCCTCAGGGCAGAGTGGCTGGTCACTTACCATCCCTGATGCAATGTCCTTGGCAAAGCTGACCCTCTGACTCCACGGGTACTGGCTGTCCTGCGGACAGGGAAGAATGGCTGGGATGGAACCCAGGGGGCCACAGGAGTGGGGACAGCTGAGTGAGTCACAGGAACACGTGTGGTAGAGTCTGAAGGCTCCCAAGGTGTTCCTGTACCCACAGCTGCCGGCTAACAATTATCTTCTAAGAGAGAGCGTGTGTGCACAGCTCCAAGGCATCCTTTTCTTTGCTTGTCCGTCAGAGGACAGCTCGGGGGAGCCTTCTCTCCTTCCACCATTTGGGTCCCGGGGATCAAACTCACATCAGCAGGCTGGGGGCAGGCACCTTTCCCTGCTGAGCTGTCGCACAGGCCCTTGTTCAGTTTTTTGAGACAGGTATGTAGCCCAGGCTGGCCTTGACCTTTGATTTTCCTGCTTCAAGCCTTGGGACTAGGGTTATAGGCCCCAAAGGCATCTTTTCTCAACAGAACTGATTTCACACATGAAGGGTTGATGCATGGTCTCCTGAAGTTCCCAAACTAGCTATTCTGAGCAGTAACCATGTGGCTATCACTCTCAGGTGCCTGCTGGGTGTTTATGCACCTCCAGGACAGACAGTATAAACCACGGCCCATGAATCTGTTACAGGAAACAGTGTAGTACCCTATTTAACTTCCTGAATATTCTTTTTAAAATATAATTTATTTATTTTTGCTTTCTTTTTTGTGTGTGGTATGCTATCTGTGTTTTGTGTGTGTGTGTGCACATGTGGAGGGCAGGAGGTAGATGTCAGGTTTCTTCCTTAATTTCCTTCTACAACTAAACATTTTTATCTAATATGCTTATTTACGTGTGTACACAGATGTAGGGGTGTGTATAATGTTCAGGAGTTGGCTCTCTCCTTCCACAGGTGGGTCCTGGAGATTGAACTCAGCCCATCAGGCTTGGCAGCAGGCACCTTTACTCTCTAGGTCATCCTGCTGGCCTTCTACCTTAGCTTTTTGAGAGACTGTCTAACTGAATGAAGAGCTCATGGATCTGGGTAGGCCAGCCGGCTAGTGGTCCACAGAGACCCTCCCTCTAGTGATGGGATAACAGTGTATACCATCATGCTAGGCTTTTAAGAGGGTCTTTGGGGTTGAACTCAGGTCTCCCCAGCCCCTATTTCAAGTTTTTTTTTTTTTTTGGTTTTTCGAGACAGGGTTTCTCTGTGTAGCTTTGCGCCTTTCCTGGAACTCACTTGGTAGCCCAGGCTGGCCTCGAACTCACATAGATCTGCCTGGCTCTGCCTCCCGAGTGCTGGGATTAAAGGCGTGCGCCACCACCGCCCGGCTATTTCAAGTTTTAAAACCAGGCTGAACCAATGTTCAGAGTCAGAGCTGAAGGTCCAACAAGCCGCCTGAACCCTCAGCACCAGTCAGGGGGAGAATGGGGCTCTGGTTCTGCCGTGGTTTGGATCTTGTACTAAAGGCTCAGTCTCGAGCACGGCACTAGTAGGAAGGGATGTACCTTTTCAGAGGGAGAGCTAAGTGGAGAGTTCTTACGTTATTGGGGGTCATGGCCATGCAAGGGGATAGTGGCATCCTGACCTCTTCCTCCTCAACCTCCCTTTTTGGTTTTGGTGTGTGTGTATATAGAAAGGGTCTCACTACGTAGTCTTGGCTGGCATGGAACTTGTCATGTAGACCAGGATGGCCTTGAACTCATTGGGATCCACTGCCTGCCTCCCTAGTGCTGGGATTAAAGGAGTGCGCCACTACACCGGGTTTATGCAGTACTGGGGACTGAACCTGGGGCCTCACACAGGCCAGGCTAGCACTCTAGCACCCGAGTCACCATCCCCAGCCGCCAGCCCTGCTCACCATGCTCTTGATGATGCCCCGCAGGGTGCCACCCTTAATGTACTCTGTGATGAAGTTCAGCCGCTTGTCCTTGTACAGCACACCGATGAACTTGAGCACGTTCGGGTGCTCTAGGCACCGCATGACCTTCACCTGGAGGGGTACACACAGTCTGGGCCTGGACCTTCCCCTCCAGCAGGGCACCCAGGCTCCTCTCACCCAGCAAGCCACTGTGTTGTCTTCTTCTTCTTCTTTTTTTTTCTTTTGGTTTTTCGGGACAGGGTTTCTCTGTATAGCCTTGGCTGTCCTGAAACTAGCTCTGTAGACCAGGCAGGCTGAACAGAGCTCCGCCTGCCTCTGCCTCCCAGGAGCTGGGATTAAAGACGTGCTCCCACTCGCCAGCTGCCTTCTGTTTTCTAAGTGTCACTCATAGCTCAAACTGGTCTTGAACTAGCTATGTAGCCATGGAGGTCCCTGGACTCCTGATCCTCACACCACCATCTCCCTCCCATGTGCTGGGATAACAGGCAGGTACCACCAAGGTCAGCTTTTGCATTAGAACCCAGGGCTTCGTGCATGGTGGGCAAGCCTCTACCCACCCACACCGCCAGCACACAGCTGTTCTGACCTCGGACACTGTCCGAGTCAACGGCTCACATAGCCCAGGCTGACTGGGAACTCTCTATGGAGCTGAGGAGTACGCTGACCTCTGATCTTCTTGCCTTCATCTCCCAAGTGCTGGGATTATAGACGTGTACAACCATGCCTGGTAGATGTGGTGCTGGGGATTGAACCCAGGGCCTCATGCTTTCGAGGCAAGCCCTCTACCAACTGAGCTACACCCACAGCTCACGGAGCTATGTCTTTGCTCAAGCTGCCCTGTTCCCAGTGGGGCCTGAACCTTCTCACTTCTTTCAACCCCTTCTCATTGGGGCTGAGAGTGGACATGTGAGGCACACAACCGTCCCTCTCCACTAACCTCCTTGAGGAATGTCCTCTGGGTCTCCTCGTCAAAGCGGATGAGCTCCTTCATCACCATCACCTCGCCTGTTTCTCGGTGTGTCACCTACGGTGGGGACATGGAGGCACAAAACTCAGGACCATGTGGGACATAGTGACAGATGCCTGTAACCCTAGCCACTTGGGAAGCTGAGGCAGGAGGATCTCATGTCCAAGGCCAGCCTGGGCTATCTAGTGAGTTTGAGGCTAGCCTGGGAAACTTAGAGAGACCTTGTTCTGATATGAAAGTAAAACTAGGCATGCTAGTGCACGAGTGACCCCGGTACTTGGGGAAGACAGAATATTAGGAGTTCAAGGCCATCCCCAGCTACTTAGTGAGTTCAAGGCCAGCTTGAGTTACATGAGACTTTGTCTCTAAAACCAAACCACAAAGTTCTGAGTCTACCCATGTAAAATCTCTTTCCTCTTATCAGCTCAGGGAAATCCAGGAATAGGAGAGGGTAACACTGGGCAGAGAGCATAGAATCTAGATGTCCCATGTTGGATTCCCAGGGGGCAGTGTGAGGGAAGAGGTGGTCAGAGGCGTCACCCAGCCTGCCCCTCCCATTTGCATACCTTGATGGCCTGGCCGAAACAGCCCTTGCCCAACACCTCCCCATGGATGAGGTCAGATGGCCGGAAGATGCGGTGTGGTCGGCAGACCACTCGGAGGGATTCGGAGCGACCCAGGTCCTTGCGCTGGGAGGCTGGTGAGCTGGCACCCGGGGACGTGTCAATACTGCAGCTCCTCCTGGGAAAGGCACATGGGGGCCCAGTGCCATGGGGAGGTGGCACCCAGCTGAGACATTGCCCCTGACTCCTTGCAAAAAGCACCATATAAACCAGTCGATGCTCACCCCCATCCTGGGAGTAGGTAGGACAGCCCAGTGTCTTGGGGTAGCCACAAAGCTGTCTGCCTGTTAGATGGTGCTGATGGCCTCCTCTGCTTGGTGGCCCAGGCTTAGGTACCCTGCCTGATATGCCCATTGTACTGTATGTACACAGGTCTGGACAAACAGAGGTGAGGGGGTACATGCCTTTGGCAGTACAACCTCTTAGAATGAGGGCTATCATTCCAGAAGGCAGCCCCTCAAAAGGCTTCTCCAAGAGTCCTGGAGAGGACCCAGCATGAGGCAAGTAACAGGCTGCCTCTGATTCCTTTTCTCCGTCCTTCCTCCTGCCTCTTCAGGTTCGAGGATAGAGGACTCATGGCACCTGCTGCCTGGATCACTGCAGGAGACTATTAACCAACCCTGACTTGAACATCCCACATCAAATTCCGTCCTTACCTTGGGCCATAGTAATCTTTGTGAAACACGCCATTGTGTGGTGACAACCCTTCAGAGGAGACCTCTAGGCAATGAAAAAGGTCCAAAGCCCCCTGGCACAGCTGATGCCCTGTCACCCCCAAAGCCCCCATTATCCCAAGCCAATCACGAGCTGCTCCTTGAAGTTAAGATGCTAGTCTGCGTCCTACTTACTCCAAAGCTTCGAGTGAGCCTTCATTATTAAAGCACTAATTAAAAACAAAACAACAAACAAACAAACAAAAAAAACGAAGAAAACAAGAAATCAGCTGGCTATGGTCAAACATACTTGCAATTCTCAGTACTTAAGAGGCAGAGGCAGGAAGATCACAAGTTCAAAGCCAGTCTGGGCTATGTATGAAACAAAACACATAAACAAACTAAAAATCATCCAACAAGCAAACAAACTAGAGAGAAAGAGAGAAAGTAAAAGCTAGAAACCATTGTAGTACGTTGTAGTTTCTCATGGTATTTTTGTGTGTGTGCTGTATGTATGCATTCATGTGAGTGTGCACGTATATTTGTGCATGAACATGTGGAGGTCATATGTTGATATCAGGTATTTTCCTTAATCACTCTTTACCTATTTTTAAGATTTATTATTTTTAATTATCTGTATGCGTTTTTTTTTTTTTTTTTTTTTTTGGTTTTTCGAGACAGGGTTTCTCTGTGTAGCTTTGTGCCTTTCCTGGAACTCACTTAGTAGTCCAGGCTGGCCTCGAACTCACAGAGATCCGCCTGGCTCTGCCTCCCGAGTGCTGGGATTAAAGGCGTGCGCCACCACCGCCCGGCGCGTTTTTATCTATGTGTAGGTTTGTGCATGTGAGCACCATGCTTGTGGAGGCCACAAAAAGACATCAGACCCCTTGGAACTGGTAGAGGTGTGCCACCCAAAGTGGGTGCTGGGAACCAAACTCTGGTCCTTTGCAATAATGTATACATTCTTAAGCTCCCCTCACCCCCAAGACAGGGTCTCACTCTGTAGACCAGGCTGGCCTGGAACTCAGAGGTCCACCTGCCTCTGCCTTTGCCCTGAGTGCTGGGATTAAAGGCGTGCACCACTACTACCTAGCACACTCTTAGCTCTTAACTGCTGATCTGTCTCTCCAGCCTTCCACCGTACTTCTGAGACAGGTGTGGGGTTACAGGTGTGTGGTTTTTTACACGGTGCTGCTGGGATCTGAACTGAGGTCCTCGTGCTTACCTGCCAAGCACTCCTACCTATGGAACCATCTACCAGCACCATCTCATTAGAGTCCCAGAAAGAATAGCAAAATGCACAAGAAGCTGATAGGTAAGACCAATGGGCCAAGTATTTATAATGATGGCACAGTATGTACATTGCGACCAAGCCAGTGATAGGAATGGAATTTGTATGAGTTCTATTTATATTAATGCAACTATTTTTTTTTTTTTTTTTTTTTTTTTTTTTTTTTTGGTTTTTCGAGACAGGGTTTCTCTGTGTAGCTTTGCGCCTCTCCTGGAACTCACTTGGTAGTCCAGGCTGGCCTCGAACTCACAGAGATCCGCCTGGCTCTGCCTCCCGAGTGCTGGGATTAAAGGCGTGCGCCACCACCGCCCGGCTAATGCAACTATTTTTTAAAAATTCAAGAGTTGGCACATCAAAGTGATAAAATATGGTTCTTTTTTGCTTATTTATTTTTTATTTTATTATTATTATTATTTTTAGTTTTTTGAGACAGAATTTCTCTGTGTAGCTTTGAGCCTTTCCTGGAACTCACTCTGTAGTCCAGGCTGGCCTCGAATTTACAGAGATCCACCTGGCTCTGCCTCCCAAGTGCTGGGATTAAAGGCGTGCACCACCACTGCTCGGCGCTTATTTATTTTTAATAAATAGGGTCTCATGTAGTCCAGGCTGGCCTCCAACTCACTAGGAAGCCAAGGGTGACCTTGAACTTCTGATCTTCCTGCTTCTCTGCTTTTACCTCCTGAGTGCTGGGATTACGGGATGTGCCGCCATGCTGGGCTCATGTGGTGCTGGGGATAAAACCCATGGCTTTGTGCTAGTTGAACACTCTGCTTACAGCCCAGCCTTAAATTTTTTTTTTTTTTTTTTTTGAGACAGGATTTCCTCTGTGTAGCCCTGGCTGTCCTGGAACTCAGAAATCCTCCTGCCTCTGCCTCCTGAGTGCTGGGATTAAAGGTGTTGGCTACCACTGCCCAGCCCAAAGTATGTTTTATCTACGACGCTTGCTCCTCACTGATTCCTCCCTGTTAATGTGCCTATAGAAAAGTGTGCCCAAAACCGTCTTCCCTTTTAAACACTTTAGAATTAGAGAGAAGGCCTGCAAGATGGCTCAGTGGGTAAAGGCACTTGCCACACCAAGCTTGACAACCTGAGTTCGATCCCCTGGACCCAGGGCAGGAGCCCTGACTGATTCCTGCAAGATGTCCTCTGACTTCCACATGGGTGCTGCGGCATTCTCACTCCCCATCTCTGTGCCCCCTCCCCCCACAAAGTAAATGAATTAATCAATGCAAAAAAAATTAGAGTGGAAAAACAGAAGATGTGGGTGTGCTGGGGACAGTGTCTAACTTCCAGCTGGGGGCGCTGTCCACTGTTCCCTCTTTCCTATCCTCACATCTTTTAGAATTCCTGTACCACAATGCTGGTGGAGCTGAAGGGATGAAAGAGCACCAGAATAATGTCTGCAGAAGTAAAGGTTGACTTACAAGACAGGTTTCTGGCGGGCAGAGCTGCCTGCCTGGCCGCTGGGAACGTGCACTGGGGAGGGCAGGGGGCTGGGCTCCGACCCTGGCCCGTGGCCCAGTAAGTCATGGGGGTCGTGCTCAAGGGTCAGCTGGAGCAGGCGGCTGGTCTCCTGGATCAGCAGGTCGATCTGGGGACAGGTGAGCGTGCAGGTGAGTCTTCTGAGGGGGCGGGAGGGCTTAGGTGTGAAGGCTCTCCCTCCATCACTCCATCTGCCCCGGCCTTGGATCCCTGTGGTCCTACCTCGTCCAGCGGCACATTCCGGATGGGCGTGCCGTTGATTTCCAAGATGCGGTCTCCAACGTGGATGGAATTCTTCACATCTGGGCTCATGCAGCCAGGGTCCACCCTGGGGATAAACCAGTGGTTAGACTGGTTCCCCTCCCACCGGTGCCCTTTAGTCCCAAGAGAAAACCGAAAGCCAAGACGAGCAGATATGGTGGGGAGGGAGAGCAGATATGGTGGGGAGGGAAACGATTCCACCTTGGGTGAAAATCGCAGCACACTGACTTTCTGGTTGTCACCTTTAACAAAACTGAAAAGACTTCACATGTGTGTTTTGCCTGCATATGTGTCTATGCACCACCTGGAAGCCACAAGGGTGTCGTCGGATCCTCTGGAGATGCAGCTACAGATGGTTGTGAGCCCCCAGGTGGGTGCTGGGAACCGAACCCTGGTTCTCTGCAAGAGGAGCCAGTCCTCTTAACCGCCGGGCTACCTCTCCAGCCCCAGTTTACCTTTTTTTTTTTTTTTCGAGACAGGGTTTCTCTGTGTAGTTTTGCTGCCTGTCCTGGAACTTGCTCTGCAGAC